AGGTCAAATTTAGCGTAAGACAGGCCCTAAAAGGAGGGAAGGTGTAATCACAAGTTGAGTCTTGGTAATAGGGGGTTGCCTATATTTTACCTGTTATTCCCCCCTGTTCTCTTTCCTCTTCCTTTTCTCTTCTGAAAGAAGTAGTTTATGTGATTGACATCATATTGTTCATATTGTTCATTCTTTATAGAATGTTTTGAGATAGAAGGATAATTAAAAAAATAATTTACCTTTTCTCTTTTCAACTTTATCAGTTTTTTTCTTTTCCCTCATGGATTCATTGTTGCCTCTTTTGCTTTAAGTCTTCATCAACTTGTGATCATTTAAATAGACTTGCTCTCTGGGTGACCTTTCTGCCCTTGATCCCTTCTGTTCCATTTTAGTCGATTTCTAGCTAATCTTTAAACACCTTTCTTTATTGTACCATTACCCTGCAGAAAAACAAAGTTTTGAAATACGATCCTATTAAAATTTTCCAATTATATTTCCCTGCTACCTACCCTAAATCTGTATGCCAGCCTGGGAGATTTTATTTTTTAAGGAAAGAGTAGAAACAGTGAGATTTATTCAATTCCATGGGGAGGATAAAAGTATATAGAACAGTGGACTTGAGAGCAATATACACAAACAAAGTTTTGAAATACGATCCTATTAAAATTTTCCAATTATATTTCCCTGCTACCTACCCTAAATCTATATGCCAGCCTGGGAGATTTTATTTGTTAAGGAAAGAGTAGAAACAGTGTGATTTATTCAATTCCAGGGGGAGGATAAAAGTATATAGAACAGTGGACTTGAGAGCAATATACACAAAAAAGGAAGAGCTGAAATAGGTGAGCGAAGAGCCATATTTGAGATACTTGTAGGGTTATTACAGAAATAAATTGATACTGGGTGTGGAGAAGAGGGTGATCATCAATACTGATGGCTATAGGTATGAGAAAAAAAATTAAGGACTGGTTTTGGCAATTAGATGGCCATTCCTGTTAACAAAATATTTGTGTTCTCTTCAGATTTAATATTCTTCCTTGTATAAATTCTCCCTTCTCAAAACTATTTATGGTTGTTTATATTTAGCATTCCTTGTTATTTAAATTATTTGGTAATAGATAAATTGTGTAGTTTCTTAATTATAAATTCCTTGTGGTCTGGATCAATTCACTTCCTTTGTTTCACCATCAACATTATCATCAATCTGACATCTAAATCACCTAGCCTCACATATTAGGTGCTCTAATACTTGTTGATAGATGTTAGAAAATCTGGGCTGGTGGGTATTTTATTCTTTTTTTCAAATTTGCTCCAGTAATCTGTGAAATGTAGAAGCTTTTTCTAAAAGCTCAACTCAAGATAAGAGTTTGTGATGTTCACTCTAAATCTAAAGATACTATTAATGACTAATTGAGAATACCAGTTGGAGCTTTTGCCCGTGGGTGGTTAGTGCAAGTCATAGCCACTGGTCGCTTGATCGACTATCTTTTTTTTAAGGACTGGTTTTGGCGATTAGATGGCCATTTCTGTTAGGAAAATATTTGTGTTCTCTTCAGATTTAATATTCTTCCTTGTACAAATTCTCCCTTCTCAAAACTATTTATGGTTGTTTATATTTAGCATTCCTTATTATTTAAATTATCTGGTAATAGATAAATTGTGTACTTTCTTAATTAAATTATAAATTCCTTGTGGTCTGGATCAGTTCACTTCTTTGTTTCACCATCAACATAATCATCAATCTGACATCTAAATCACCTAGCCTCACATATTAGGTGCTCTAGTACTTGTGGATAGATGTTAGAAAACCTGGGCTGGTGGGTATTTTATTCTGTTTTTCTGTGAAATGTAGAAAAAAGCTCAACTCAAGATAAGAGTTTGTGATGTTCACTCTAAATCTAAAGATACTATTAATGACTAATTGAGAATGCAGTTTTCTATACATGGGAACATATGCAAGAAATATTTTTAGGCCAGTTCTGTAGATCCAGGTTATTTGTAGTAGGTATTTATTTGTAGTCCCTTGTACTGATCAGGAGGGACTAAGATCAGTCAGTTCACTTGCCTTTCAAGTTTAAAACAAAATTAACCAAACCTTATTTGGCTCTTTCATTCAGCGGATGGGGAAGTTTACGTCTGGGATGTGAACTCTAGGAAGTGCCTGAACAGGTTTGTTGATGAAGGCAGTTTATATGGATTGAGCATTGCAGCATCTAGGAATGGACAGTATGTGGCTTGTGGGTGAGTAAAGAATCACATTGTGGTAATGAGAAAATATTAAAGAATTGGATATTCTAAATGGTGCTTAAGTACTGTTTATAAACTGAGTAATAGGAAATCAGTAAACCCAGGTTGTTTAGATTTTGTTGTCTTAATGCAGTGACTTATAATATTATTGGTGGTTTATCTGCTCTTTAGCAAAGAAAACACTGGACTGCCTTGTTTCATTGTATTTTTCTTATATTTGAAATATCTATTTGATCACATCAAATTTTCCTATTACTATTTTAGTTACTTGTTTTAGCCTTAAAGGCATTTAAAGCATTTTTGCCTTCATCTGGCTAGGTGGTATAAACCAAAAACATATGTTCTTTGGAAATATTGTTTGTTAGTACTGTAGAAATTTTGAAAGTATTATCTAGGACCGTGGTCGGCAAACCGTGGCTCGCGAGCCACATGTGGCTCTTTGGTCCCTTCTGTGTGGCTCTTCCACAGAATACCACGTGCGGGCATGCATGTACAGTGCGATTGAAACTTCGTGGCCCATGCACAGAAGTCGGTATTTTGTGGAAGAAACACACTGAAGGGGCTGAAGAGCCACATGTGGCTCACGAGCCGCAGTTTGCAGAGCCGCAGTTTGCCGACCACTGATCTAGGACATTCTTATGTGATCACTGGAAAACTGGCTTCATTCCCCTGCTTGATTCTAAGGATCCAGGGTGGGAGGAGGAGGCATTAAATACTTAGCTGTAATTTGTACCCACCAAACCACCAACCAGCACCTGTAGTTTTAGAACTTGGAGAAGTGGATTTTTATGACTTTCTTAGCCTAAACACAGTTGATCCCTAAAGAGATTTTGGTCAAATCCTCCCTGGGTGGGAGGTCCAGTGGGTCTTGCTGTCCAGAAGCATAAGCTGATGGGGCTAGATGTTCAGATAGGCCTGGGACCATCTTGGCCCCTTTGGCTTTGCTTTTCCCTTCGTTTTTTTTAACCTGTCATATTCTCTTCTTTCTTTGCAGTTCTAACTGTGGAGTGGTAAACATATACAGTCAAGACTCTTGTCTCCAAGAAACAAACCCAAAGCCGATAAAAGCTATAATGAACTTGGTTACTGGTGTTTCTTCTTTGACCTTCAATCCTACCACAGAAATCTTGGCAATTGCTTCAGAAAAAATGAAAGAAGCAGTCAGATTGGTAATATTTCTTTACCTTTTCCTATTATTATTGATAATTTTAAAATTTAAGTTGAAGACATGGAAAAATAACAGGAAAGGAGAGTGTGGATTATTTTAAAGAGTCGCTTCTTTTGATGTAGAAATTACTAGTATTGTCGCTTTTGGGTGTGGTTGTAGGAAAGATGCACAGTAGCCACCACATTTGTATTATGGCAGTTGTTTTGGGAAAGCTGTGCTGTTTTATTAAATTTCATAAGTGGCTATTCTTCATTTTCACAGGTTTCTTTCTTTCAGCATATTATTAAGGAGTCTGTTTAAGGCAAACACTTCTTTCCTCTTCAGTTTTCTTTCCTCATCTACCTTCTGAGGTATGTTGTCTTAGTGGAGTGGAGGCAAGTTTTAGATTTGAAAATAAATTGTGTAAAAAGATAGCAGTTTAGCCCGGCCGTTGTGGCTCAGTAGTTGAGCTCTGATCTAGGAACCATGAGGTTCAATTCCCAGTCAGGACACACGCCAGGGTTAAGGGCTCAATCCCAGTGTGGGGTGTGCAGGAGGTGGCCGATCAATGATTCTCTCTCATCATTGATGTTTCTCTCTCTCTCTCTCTCTCTCTCTCTCTCTCTCTC